GTAAAAGCAGGAGAAAAAGCCCGGATTCTTTGGAACTAATAACATTCGAACTGAATCGGATAAAGTTTCTCAGTTAGGCAAGGTGATAACAGCGCCATCGTTTTATTCTGTGGTTTTGGCAATTGTCTGTCATCCACGACCCCGAGTCCGACATAGGATTTCCGACCAGAGAAATTAACAACTGCAAACACGTCCCTTATCACATGGTATCCAAAGTGTTTTTAGTAAGGATGAAAGTAAAATTGATTGTGTTTTAGTAGCTAACTTTAGAAGGTTGAACGACGAATCGGAGTACCACCCTCTACAATCGGCCTTCGTGATGAAGAAGAGTTTTGACATATCCTTAAGATTACCAGCTGGATCAAAGATGAAAAGCTCCTCGAGATTTGCCCACCGGTGACCGCCTGAGGGTGAAAAAGTGGCAAAAAATCCTGGATTTCCTGAGTGAAACTGGGGATCGATCTACGCGTCGTGGATTTCTGCGCTGTCTCCAGGACACTAAGAGCTGTTCGAAAGTCGACTGTTTCCAAAACAGAGGGAACAGTTCAGGTTTGTGAGTGACAGCTGTGGACGTCAGGAACATTAAAAAGAGGCTTGATGAGAAACAACTTCTTGTCAGGGATGGCGATCACGATGACTTTTTAAGCCGAAATATCACCGAAGTCTAAATACCTGCTCTTGACCATTTGGAACAATTACGGACTGAGCACTGTACTATCTTTGCCTGGACGAGTTGCACCAAGCAGCGAGAGAACAGCTGGTGTGCCCATCCATCTGACCGAAAAAAAATTTGCGGTAAACAAGATGTAGACAATCCCTTCAAATCATGATTTTATGGCGGCCAGTACGTACTAACAGTGCATCAGTGTTAATGAAGGTGGCCGCATTCCGAGCAGGTGGACGCCTAAACCATCTTATGCATTAACGCTGACCGTCTTGTGAACCTCTCAGTCACCCGAAAAAGACGCTCACATAGCAAAATGGGAGCCGAGAGCATAGTAGAAAAGCGGCGAAAATTTTGGATGCTTTTAAAAGCCTCCTAACTACCAATCGACAGAGCATATAAAGTCACTCGCGACCATGGAAACATTTGAATCACGAAAAAACTGAATTGCGAAGTCCAGTCTGATGATTCATCTAAAACAATTCTTTCCTTATATGAGGGGGAGGAATAAAGGTTGGAGTAGGGTGTCTCCCATGGGCACACACTCTAGTGAAGCTGATGTGTTGCTCACCCAAGATAGTGGTGAGTGGTCATGTTCATCCGCTTGGAAGTTTTCGCAGCGGTTCCGGGCTTTGAAAATATATGCTGGCGCATATAAAACACGGGACTAAACATCATGTCGCACGAATAGTCGGGACAAATCATTAAAAAGTTGAAATGATTTGCGATGTGTTCAAATAATTTACGGTTTCTGAAGCATTGAAATATTAGGTCTGTGAGAGGTTTCAGACGAAAATTCATGGGGGAGAAACCAAATTGTGCGCAAACCACGCATAGATGTAGCCTCGTCAAAGTGCGCGCTTAAAAAGTTCTTCTCTGGATGATGTAGTTAGATTTGGTATAAGTTCGCGTATTGACAAACAGGAACGAGGTTTTCGCCCTAGCTTCGCGGTTCGGTTTTGTTGTTGTCGCTCGGCGGCTGTCGTTCACCTGAAAGTCACAAGTGAAAAAAGGATGTAGCATTGCTCTTTATGTTCTCGGCGTAGGGCAGTATGCTTGCAAGCGTGAGGATTCGCATAAATAATTGTGTAATAGTGCTTTGAACTGGGTTCTAGAAGGAGCGTGGGCAACCATCAGAAGACGGTCCTTCCACACAACTACTACCATAAGTCAGGGAAATTTTCGTCCGGTGAAAGTTTGCACTCCGAGATGAAAGTTGTTTTTTTATATCCCCGCTGTGTGTTTGCTGGGTCAACGATGAAAAACCTGTTGGACAAATCTTCTTCAAACTGGCCAAAAAGTGAGGATTCGGTTCCCTCGATAGCAATGATAATTCAGGAGAATATTGGCAGCTGGGTAGTGGTGAAATGCCACCTTACCTGAACAGCTAGTACCGAAAATATAAGCTGAATCACAGATGGAAGCGCAGCCACGGAGTTAGGATTTAGGTCCGATTTACTCGTTGAATCCGATGTTAGGCAGCCACGAATTTCATAGACTAACGCACAGGATGAGGGATTTTGCCAAAGCGTTGTGGCGTTTTGTACCCTTACTTTACTTCCATTATAACACTACCTATTTCATCAATTGCATAATCGTTTTTTGTTTGAATACGAAAAACTACAAAAACGCGCACTTGTACAATTTCACATAATACAAGCGTGGTCACGTGCTTCGACTCTCTCTTCTGATTTCGCTCGCGCTTGTAGCGGTCATTCGCGAGTCTCATGCACCAACTCTGGTACCAAAACATTTCAGACAATCTTCGGAATCTATTATATGCGGGAACTGTTCAGAAGAAGACCTCTGGACACACATAATGGGATTATTGTTTATTCGCTGACCTGGGCCAACGATGAACTATTTCAAAGAGAGCAATTTTTAGTGAGTCTGTTCCATCTGACCTCTTTATTTTTGTATACCCGACCTAGCGTAATTATTTTTATTTCTTTGTCACACTCCTGGTAAACTAACTTATTGGGTAGCCAGACCACTACAAATTTGGTGAGCCCGAGTATTTCTAGATATTTTTTGAAAGCTTTTCCTTTCAATTCGTCGTAATTTTGTCTCTTTTGCCCGGTACTTATGGAAGCACACTTTCATTCAGTGGATTTAATCGAGAATGCGATTAGCGTACGCTTACCAGACTACAATCCACGCAAACCCAGGTTATGGTTTCACGAGGTGGAGGCCGTTTTTATTACTGGCGGACAACTTCTCAAGCCACGCAATTTTTTATGTTGTCCAGCATCTTTATTGTGATGTAGCAACAGAAATGGAAGATCTATTGGACGATATTCCCAAGGAAAATACGTGTGAAGTCCTTCGAGCGGCCGTCATATGTAGGACAGGGAAATCATAAAACAAAATGCTTCGGGATCTATTCACCACTGGCGAACTTGGGGACGGATCGCCATCACAACTGCTTTACTACATGCTCATTCTCCTCTGCGGCCGTAAGCTAGCGGTGGAACTCATGGCCCAACCATGGCTCGACAAACTCCCACCCTCCATACCTCACGTCACCAGCGCCTTCGTTGATGACCACAGCTTGGAGCAGTTAGCCCGGATGGCGGATAAGATACACGAAACATACCTCAGTAACCCCATAAACTCCGTTCCCCCCGCGCCCACTACAGATTCCGACCGGCTTCTTGCCTCTATATCGCACCTACAAGCCAAGTTTGATGCCTTGACCGATCGCAGTGTCAACCAACTTGTTCCTTCAAGCCAAGTTCCAACACCCCTCTAAACAACCCGGTCAGTCAGTAACGGCGACGACTGTCTGTGGCCCTCCTCGCACTAGTCGCCTGTTCCACGTCACCGATCGTTCAAGTTGTCTACGTTTCCTCGTAGATACGGGAGCTGAAGTTAGTGTGCTACCACATAAGAATCCACTTCCCAATTCTCCGTCTTTCTCCTTACAAGCCGCTAACGGTACCCGCATCGCTAAACACGGCGAACGTTCCCTCACCCTTGACCTTGGATTGTGACGTGCATTCAAGTGGATTTTCCTTTTGGCCGACGTCCAAACACCCATCATCGGTGCAGATTTCCTGACCCATCACAATCTATCTGTCGACGTGGGACACAAACGTCTCTTAGACACGCTTACTTCCCTCTCAGTCAACGGAATTAGTGCCCCAACTTCATCTACAGGTATCCGAGTTATCTTACCGGATTCACATTTTGCTGACATACTTGGGGATTTTACAACCCTTACTCATCCATATCAGTACACCCAACCGGTCACTCATTCCGTCATTCACCACTTTCAGACGAGAGGCCCACCTGTCCATACCCGCCGACTTCATCAGGATAGGCTACAAATCGCAAAACACGAGTTCGAACGCATGCTCAAACTCGGCATCATCCGCCTCTCATCGACTCATTGGTCATCACCCCTACATATGGTACCTAAGAAATCTAAAGGTGATTGGAGACCCTGTGGGAATTACCGTTCACTGTACAACGCTACTATCCCAGACAGGTATCCCATCCCACATATCCACGATTTCTCAAGTATACCCTATGCCACACAAACATCTTCTCCAAACTCGACCTCATACGAGCATACAGCCACATACCCGTAGCCCCGGACGACATTCCTAAAACAGCTCGCAACAACGTTTGGTCTTTTCGAATTCACGCGTATACACTTTGGTCTTCGACGCTCCACCGCGAAACCGAAATTTCAAGGTCAGGTGTTGTAGAAACGTTTTTTAATTATAACCCACCCATAGGTCTTTAACCATTTTTTATACTAGGTGATTATTTATTCACCAGGGATGCCTAATTATCTGCGGTCACAGAATTAAACAGGTCTCCCTTCTTCAGTAGGCTTAATAGGTGTCAGTCCCCAACGCGTTTAACCTTCTGCATAGTCGTCCCTGACGACGTGCTGCCATTTGCCCACCGATTCGGTTATTCCTGAATATCACTTTTTCCATCAACTGATTTTTTGTTCCTGACCGGAGACACCACTCATCGCAAAGTTTACACTACTGTTCCTCAACCTACTTCGAAGTATTTCATTATGACACCGCTCCCATCTTCCTCCTCTAAGCGGTTGCCAGACCCCGAATCCCCATCAACTATCTCCAAGGTATTACCAAAGAGGCGGGTCGTAGCCAGAAGACCCAGCTCCCAACCCCCACATCCATCGGGGCCGGCAAAAACTGTACCACAGACGACCACAGATTGTTCAGTAGTCCTAACCGACATGCCTTTGCTTCCATAACCTGGCAGTACTCTCCCCTCACAGCTACCAATATAATCTCAGGTCCTGAAAGACCTGAAAAACCTCAGAATCCGACTACACAATATGGAAAGTGAAATGTCTTCCTTGCGAACCATACAGTCGATTGCATGTCTCTTAAATCCTGATGAAACGTGTGATCCTACAAACTTAGAAAAAGCGTCTACTCTAATTGTTACGATTGCGTCAGAGATTTGTCAACGCATCGAATGTCGGCACCAGGTCTTAGTATTCAACGCACCTGATCGAACCCCGCTTGAGCACACCAGAACTGCCATCTTGACAGCATGTGGCATGTTGGGCACCATGTGCACGGCTCGGCGGCTCCGAAAGTCGAAAACATCCATGTGCTGCCCGGTAGTAATGCAATTCCGGGATGAAAACGATGCTGCGCGTCAGCTAACAGCCCGGGCTCTTCTCTCATCTACCAAAAAATTCCATACCTTGAAACTTAAAGATGCTTGTACAAGAATGCGAAGACAGCTTACCAAAAAGTCACCGGAACCTGTTGCATCGTCACCCACCAGTACTTGCGCTGACGAGTGCCACAATGACACACAAAACTGTCTGTTGGACCCAGGTCCTGTACCCCACGCTCATGACCATGGGCCCTCCACTCCTATCTCTGAGCATCCACAAATGTTATCTCCGACCTCCACCACGCCAACGAGATCGACTGCTGATTTAGGAGATATGGTAACTAATCAGCCCACATGAGGCTGTGGTGGAGAATGATAGCACAGCTTCTCACTCAAGACCTCCTGACCTAATGACACATCGTGTCTCCCCACCAAAGCGCTTCCTTGGACTCAAGCACCTGCTGTCCAAGCCCCGCACCGTAACCCCTTCTCCTGTACCAACTCTCCGAGCTTCTGCTCTTCGCCCTTCTAAAAACCTAACCAAATCTGTAGTTCCTCATAAGCACATCTGTAGCCCCTCTAGCCGTGCAATTCAGTTACCTGGCAGGGTCTCTAAACCACAACTACCATTACGTAATCCCAGACCCTATCAAGTCCCGCCCCTCTGGAAACCTGCGTACTATATGCCTGGGATCCCTTTTCAGTAACTACCTACTCCACCACAGCAATGACCCCTCCGAAGCCACGTGCAGCCCCACCTCTACGACCTTTAGCTGTATCTCGTCTTCCTACTCCAAACCCGAAATACACCGGGCTAGTAGAGAATATCGGAAATCTCGTGATTTCTCACCGCTTACTCTCATCAACAAACTCTCTAGTGACCGAGAATCCTTGCGGGTATCTCTCGAACGCCGAGAAGAGAACGCCATCCTCAGATCTCACTTCCAATCCAAATTACTCAGCCGACTGTTCCGTAGGCGTTGCACCCCAAACAGCCACTCAATCACTTGTCTGCTTTCCACAGACAGTGGCCCCACCATTGATCCTGTCAACATATCTGACCATTTAAACGCTTACTTCGCCAGCTGCTAATCACCCTTTACTCCTAACACCAAACCCATACCCACAGCTGTTTACCTCCAAATTGTGAACGGTCAGGACAAACACCCGACTACCAGTAACGTAACCATCTCCCTAGCTGATGTCTCTTCCCTTCTTCTGAAGATTAAGGACTCTGTTGTGCCAGGGGCCGACGGCCTTCGACTCCGTATCCTGAAACAAGGTAGCCAAGATATCGGAATCCTTGTATTAAATCTTTTCGCCCACTCTTCAATCTATGGAATCGTCCCCTCCCAGCGGAAGAAATCTATAATCTACCTGCATTTTCAATCCGGATGTAGACAAACTCCTTCCAACTACAGAGGAGNACCCATACCCACAGCTGTTTACCTCCAAATTGTGAACGGTCAGGACAAACACCCGACTACCAGTAACCATCTCCCCTCCCTAGCTGATGTCTCTTCCCTTCTTCTGAAGATTAAGGACTCTGTTGTGCCAGGGGCCGACGGCCTTCCACTCCGTATCCTGAAACAAGGTAGCCAAGATATCGGAATCCTTGTATTAAATCTTTTCGCCCACTCTTCAATCTATGGAATCGTCCCCTCCCAGCGGAAGAAATCTATAATCTACCTGCATTTTCAATCCGGATGTAGACAAACTCCTTCCAACTACAGGGGAATCCACCATACCTCCCTCCTACTGAGAACCCTTGAACGTCTGGTCAAAGGCCCGTTAATCTGGATTCTCCTAGCTGCAAACGCCATAGATGACTGACAGTATGGATCCTTATCTCAAAGATCCTTAAATAGCTGTCAGCTACACTTCTTTGAGACCGTCACCGCAGCCTGCGACGCTGGATACTCCATTGT